AGATGGGGTGCCAGGTGGTGCTACAGTGGCCCTACAGTGTGGAGAGAGATGATGATGCTTGAGGGTGGTCCATCACACACTGACTATGGCCTTGGTCATCACTGGATAATCACCAGGGAAGCTGGGCGAGCTGCGGCAGAACAACTATCGAAATACACTAGTAAACGAGAGGTAAACAGTCTTCACAGGTAAACAGGCCCCACAGGTAAACAGTCTTCACAGGTAAACAGGCCCCACAGGTAAACAGTCTTCACAGGTAAACAGGCCCCACAGGTAAACAGTCTTCACAGGTAAACAGGCCCCACAGGTAAACAGTCTTCACAGGTAAACAGGCCCCACAGGTAAACAGTCTTCACAAGTAAACAGGTCCCACAGGTAAACAGTCTTCACAGGTAAACAGTCTTCACAGGTAAACAGTCTTCACAGGTAAACAGGTCCCACAGGTAAACAGTCTTCACAGGTAAACAGTCTTCACAGGTAAACAGTCTTCACAGGTAAACAGTCTTCACAGGTAAACAGGCTTCACAGGTAAACAGTTTTCACAGGTAAACAGGCTTCACAGGTAAACAGGTCCCACAGGTAAACAGTCTCCACAGGAATGCAACCTGTCCTAAGGGTGTGCTCGCCTAAGCTGCGGATGACTGCTAGGACGCATTCGTCAATTTTAACGAAGTGTGTATTTGCTCTGGCATAAGTTATGACTATTGTATATTATAATGTTGAGTATAGTTAGAAATATATATTAGGTGAGGTGTTTTGGTTCATTTGGAAATTATTTGCATTTACCAACTCGTCCTCAGGCCAGGCTCGTTAAATTTAATGTTCTATGTATAGCTAAGCGTAGGTTTGGTTAGGTTTGGTGTTTAAGTTCTGTTGGCGATTATTTGTATTTGAAGTACGTGGGTGAAGCCTTTACAAGTACTTCGGTTCGAGCAGAGGTCGTCAGCGAGGCACTATTCGAGAAATGTTTGAACGTTAACAGTTGTGAGTCGAAAGTAAACCGTTTTAATTGATAAACAAGGGGGTTGGCGGCTGGATTAAGGAGCATGTAGTCTCTGTTTATGAGGACAGGCAGGCAGGTGCAGTACGTGGGTGAAGTATTTACAGAGGTGCGACTCGAAAAAGAGTGAAGCAATGTTCGAGAAAAATTCGAATGACATTAATTGTGAGTCTTGGGTAAGGTGTTTTTCATTCATAAACAGGAGGGGGTTGGGGGGGTTGGCGGCTGATTTAACGAGCACTTGGCTCATTGTTTATGAGAACGGGCTGCGTTTACGAAGGGGGGGGGGGGGGAGGGAGCTGTTGGCTAAATTAACCCCCCCTTGTCTTCCCCCTCCCTTGTCTTTTCCCACTTCTTCTCTTCCTCCAATCATCCCTCCCCACCCTCCTCTCTTTATCCCTCCCCCCGACCTTGGCTTCCTCATCACCCCTCCTTGGCTTCCTCCACACTTTGTCTTTCCCCATGACCCAATTGTCTGCGTTACGAATCTGAGCTCTGAATATTTAACTTTAGCAAACAATGTGTGTGTTGAACCAAGGACAACACCGAGGAACAGAAGCCACTCTCCACCGAGCTTCTGGGACCTGCATTAAGAATCTTATTTTGTTTTATGATCATACTTTGATACATCTGTATTTATGCAGCTAGGCTTAAATAGGGTTACATAGTGTGTGTCAAGAGCTACCCTCAAGGCCTAGACTGAATGGTGGGTAATATAGTGTGTCCCATGACCTCCTCTAGGCCTAGACTATATGGAGGGTTACATAGTGTGTGTATAAAGAACTACCTTAATTAGGCCTAGACTACATGGAGGATTACATATAGTGTGTGTCAAGGGCTAACTATATGATACTCAAATCTACATCAGACAGGATGGTTCAACCCGTCCTCTTAAAAATAACGTCACTTTTGACTCGTATGCGCGATATGGCTAAATTTGTACGTAATTTAAAATGAAATCGACTCACAAAAGTGACGTTCTGTTCCGTTTTCTATTTGACTCGGCCGGCGTACGCGCAGAGGTTATAAGAGGACAGTTTAAATTTACGTTTTTCATAACGTTTTGAAACTTTATGAGAATTTCCTGCCCACCTAACCTATCAGAGGACCCTTAACTTACTGTTGTTAAAAAAAAAAAAATCCAAATTTATTTTAATTTTTTTTTAATTTTCAAATTACTGTACGTCCAAATTCGGCCATACGGGCAAACGGCCAAAAACGACGTTCTTTTTAAGAGGACAGGTTGCATGGTTAGTATTACAGCTTCCCTCCCCCGCCCCCAGCACCTCCCAAGCTTCCCTCCCCCGCCCTCAGCACCTCCCAAGCTTCCCACCCCCGCCCCAGACCCTCCCAAGCTTCTCTCCCCCGCCCTCAGCACCTCCCAAGCTTCCCACCCCCGCCCCAGACCCTCCCCCGCCCAGCACCTCCCAAGCTTCCCAGACCCTCCCAAGCTTCCCTCCCCCGCCCCCAGCACCTCCCAAGCTTTCCAGACCCTCCCAAGCTTCCCTTCCCCACCCAGCACCTCCCAAGCTTCCCTCCCCCGCCCTCAGCACCTCCCAAGCTTCCCACCCCCGCCCCAGACCCTCCCCCGCCCAGCAGCTCCCAAGCTTCCCAGACCCTCCCAAGCTTCCCTCCCCCGCCCCCAGCACCTCCCAAGCTTCCCAGACCCTCCCAAGCTTCCCTCCCCCACCCCAGCACCTCCCAAGCTTCCCACCCCCGCCCCAGACCCTGCCAAGCTTCCCTCCCCCGCCCCCAGCACCTCCCAAGCTTTCCAGACCCTCCCAAGCTTCCCTTCCCCACCCCAGCACCTCCCAAGCTTCCCTCCCCCGCCCTCAGCACCTCCCAAGCTTCCCACCCCCGCCCCAGACCCTCCCCCGCCCAGCACCTCCCAAGCTTCCCAGACCCTCCCAAGCTTCCCTCCCCCGCCCCCAGCACCTCCCAAGCTTCCCAGACCCTCCCAAGCTTCCCTCCCCCACCCCAGCACCTCCCAAGCTTCCCACCCCCGCCCCAGACCCTCCCAAGCTTCCCTCCCCCGCCCCAACACCTCCCAAGCTTTCCAGACCCTCCCAAGCTTCCCTTCCCCACCCCAGCACCTCCCAAGCTTCCCTCCCCCGCCCTCAGCACCTCCCAAGCTTCCCACCCCCGCCCCAGACCCTCCCAAGCTTCCCTCCCCCGCCCTCAGCACCTCCCAAGCTTCCCACCCCCGCCCCAGGCCCTCCCAAGCTTCCCTCCCCCGCCCCAGACCCTCCCAAGCTTCTTTCCCCCGCCCTCAGCACCTCCCAAGCTTCCCACCCCCGCCCCAGACCCTCCCAAGCTTCCCTCCCCCGCCCTCAGCACCTCCCAAGCTTCCCACCCCCGCCCCAGGCCCTCCCAAGCTTCCCTCCCCCGCCCCAGCACCTCCCAAGTATCCTCCCCGTCCTTAGATCTCTCTCCACCATTACCCTACGAGCAGTGGTCTTCCTCGTCAGATTGTTCACTGTATGCGCTCATGTATCTGTCCCAGCCACACCCTGTATAGTGTATGTGCTCCTGTATCCGTCCCAGCCACACCCTGTATACTGTATGTGCTCCTGTATCCGTCCCAGCCACACCCTGTATAGTGTATGTGCTCCTGTATCCGTCCCAGCCACACCCTGTATACTGTATGTGCTCCTGTATCCGTCCCAGCCACACCCTGTATAGTGTATGTGCTCCTGTATCTGTCCCAGCCACACCCTGTATAGTGTATGTGCTCCTGTATCCGTCCCAGCCACACCCTGTGTAGTGTATGTGCTCCTGTATCTGTCCCAGCCACACCCTGTATAGTGTATGTGCTCCTGTATCTGTCCCAGCCACACCCTGTATACTGTATGTGCTCCTGTATCTGTCCCAGCCACACCCTGTATACTGTATGTGCTCCTGTATCTGTCCCAGCCACACCCTGTATACTATATGTGCTCCAACATCGGTCCCAGCCGCCCACTGAACACATGCTGGCTGGGATAAACAAATCCCAAGAATAGTCAGCCAACAGGTGCCGCCAATTTGGGTCATTGTGTGGCCCATCTGTCCCAGGGCAGTGGGCCTCCACGCCTATTACGGGGATGTGTCGGGGGATGTTTTGGATGGGACGTTAAGGCGGTGATGTTGATGTGGATGAGGTGGGGGAAGAGGTCCTGGTTGTGGGTGAATGGAATGGTTTTTTGTTTCTCCTGGGGGAGAGTGTATTGGGCAGCGTCATCCATCCATCCATCCGTCATGGGGAGCCGGTCGGCCGAGCGGACAGCACGCTGGACTTATGATCCTGTGGTCCTGGGTTCGATCCCAGGCGCCGGCGAGAAACATTGGGCAGAGTTTCTTTCATTCTATGCCCCTGTTACCTAGCAGTAAAATAGGTACCTGGGTGTTAGTCAGCTGTCACGGGCTGCTTCCTGGGGGTGGAGGCCTGGTCGAGGACCGGGCCGCGGGGACACTAAAAAGCCCCGAAATCATCTCAAGATAACCTCAAGAAGATCCTGCGAGTGTACATATACCACCAATATTATAGAGATATACGACGCTCCACGGCGTTGTTCGTACTGGGAAGAACATTTTCTGGGATGCTTATTGTGTTTGGGTTGCTTGGGTTCGTACGTGTCTGGTTAACCAGCTCGGTTGCATTTTGTCCGGAAGGGAAGGGAAGGGGAGGGAACTATCAGGGGGGGAAAGCACCACGCCATTACGACTGTATAGCACATGGAAGGGATCAGGATAAGGATTTAGGATGGGACGGAGGGGAAGTGGCTAATCGAGAGCCTGGTGCGTGAGCCTCACCCGAAAAGCCCAGATGATCTCATAGACGACGGGGTCGTGTCGGGCGCGTGTTTCTCCAGCCCAAATTTGCTTGACAGGTCTGTGGGGAGGTCCTAAGCCCCGCCCCGCCGCCAGCCCGACTCCGCCCACCGCCGCCACCACCACCCTCCCACCACCGGCTCAACCACCACCACCCTCCCACCACCATCCCACCGCCACCACTCAGTGTGAGCCCAGACCGTGGAAAAGGAGGCTGCTGGCTACGCTTCAGAGCGCCCTTACGCTTGTTCTGAACCACCCCCTATTCCTTTATCCTTGTGTAATGTTCGCATTATCATTTCTCTGAGAGACGAATGACGTCTGGCATGGATGTAAAAGTGAATTGACAAACTCAGGAGGTGCATTAAGTGCAATGTCAATATGGTAAAAGTTTTTGTGCTCCAGCGGTTTCCACGAGTCAGTGAGGATACACTGAATTTGTAACCATGTATATTCTGCCACTGGTGTTTCTACTTGGTGTAACCTACGCCCAAGAAGGTGAGTCTGTTCCCTATTCTACACATAGTTTACAAGGATACTCGGTACACAGAGAGGTGTATGGGGTACGCTCGCTGTTGCCAGTGATGGGTGTAGGTATATTTTCAGGTGTTGGGCGTTACTTAACAGTGACTAAGGGAGGGGGGGAGGGGACGAGAGGTCTAGCTCTTTTATGCCCCGCCTACTAGCCTGGTTATACCTGTTGCCTTATATAATATATCTCTGTTCTGACGTTTGAATTCTTTGTTGAATTCTTAAAGTTATGGATGGAGGTGGCTTCCACAAACCCCGTACAGTGTATGGGCACTCGTTACTACCAGCGTTGGGTATGAGGTGTTGGGTAGTGTATGGGTACTCACTGTTGCCAGTGTTGAGTTTATTTCGAAGTGTGTGGGAGGACACGCTGCCAGTGTTGCATATGTTTTGAGCATGCCATTCCTCACAGGTGAAATGTGTCCGGTTTGTGGCGATTTGACAGTAAAATTTGCATACTAATTTGAATTTTGTAAACAAACCCACTTACAAATGTACAACCATTCATTAATAATGATTTTAAAGTAAATTATTGTTGTTGAATGCCCCGAGGGTTCCTTTGATCCAGAACTGCGTTATTTGATGTTGCGTTATTTGTTCAAGCCGCGTTATTTTGACTTTTTGCAAATGCGCATAATTTCAAAATATTTTTTTTTGGGGGGGGCATATCTCCTCGGAACACCTTCTTACCTGAATCTGATTCCGCGAGTTGTTCTGCTTCCCGAGGCTGGCTTGGGGGCCAGACTCGACTTGTTGAAAACAGATAAATATAATGTTTTATGGGTTTTCATATATAATACATGTTTTAAGAGCCATTAGTACGCTAAACGTTTCGATTCTGGCAAATACTCCGTTTAAGATGATGAATCGAGGTCTATTGTACGCATGTATGTCACAGTTGAGCTTCCAAGGGAGGTAATGTGGAATTACCACTAATTGTAGTAATTAGTGAGGTTCATAAAACAGCCAAAGGGCCTAGCGAGGTGTGTAATGTCAGCGGTTATACACACGAGGTCTGGTGTACTTCTTCAAGAGGAAGTACATCTTCATCTGGTACATCAGAACATCTTCAAGAGGAAACTAGATTTATTCCTCCAAGGAGTGCCGGACCAACCGGGCTGTGGTGGGTATGTGGGCCTGCGGGCCGCTCCAAGCAACAGCCTGGTGGACCAAACTCTCACAAGTCAAGCCTGGCCTCGAGCCGGGCTTAGGGAGTAGAAGAATCCCCAGAACCCCCCATCAACCACGTATCAACCAGGTACTGCCTATAACACTTAAGATTTTACCTCTTAGGTGCATCGGGATATTGGCAAAAAGATAGTTTTCTAATTGTTTAAACGTTATATCGTTAGGGTAGGCGGCGTTAACTTAAGTTAGGCTGTGTTAACTTAAGTTAGGCTGTGTTAACTAATTTAGGCTGTGTTAAATAAGTTAGGCTGTGTTAACTTAAGTTAGGCTGTGTTAACTTAAGTTAGGCTGTGTTAATTAAGTTAGGCTGTGTTAACTAAGTTAGGCTGTATGTTAACTTAAGTTAGGCTGTATGTTAACTTAACTTAGGCTGTATGTTAACTTAAGTTAGGCTGTATGTTAACTCAAGTTAAGCTGTATGGTATGTTATGTTAAGTTGTATGTTGTTGGTATGTGGGCCTGCAGGCCGCTCCAAGCAACAGCCTGGTGGACCAAACTCCCACAAGTCAAGCCTGGCCTTGTCCCGGGCTTGGGGAGTAGAACTCTCAGAACCCCATCAACCAGGTATCAACTAAGTTAGGTTGTATGTTAATTTAAGTTAGGCTGTATGTTAATTTAAGTTAGGCTGTATGTTAACTAAGTTAAGGCATATGTTAATTAAGTTAGGCTGTATGTTAACTTAAGTTAGGCTGTGTTAACTAAGTTAGGCTGTGTTAACTAATTTAGGATATGTTAACTAAGTTAGACTTTGTTAACTTAGGTTAGTCTGTGTTAACTTAGGTTAGTCTGTGTTAACTTAGGTTAGGGTGTGTCAGATTCGTTTGGGTTAGGTGGGGTTTGGCTGGAAAAGGTTAGGCAGGTTTAAAATACGTTGACCAACCGTCTTGCGTACGATCTGACTTGTAAACAGGCTTTCCGACCAAGTTAATTGTCAAAACCGTATATCGTTAGGTTTATATACCATAGTCAGGTATATATATACCATAGTCATATATACCAAGTCAGCTGGAGGACGGGTTAGTTGTGGCTGGGGTTCGGTTCGGTTCGTTAGAGATAAATTCTGTTCGGTTAGGTTAGGTAGGTTGAAAATATATTGACGAACCGTCATGTGTTCACTGTGACTTATGTCCGGATTCCGTATCGCAATTTTGACAAGTTAACAGGTTCCGGAAATTCAAAGAAAATACACATGACTTAAGCATTAAGAGCCACGAGTCTTTCGGAATTAATCAGAAGTACAGTTAGAGAGGCTTCATGGAATTTAATGGAAGTATTTATCTTTCATAGTCTTTTCAACATTGTAAGTTTGTTAGGTTTTGTCAGTATGAGTCGACGGCTGTGATGGTGAGCTGTAAGTTGTTTCTGTTGCATCTGTCCACTCCAACTCTCATGAATTTCATAACTCACTGAAAATATAATTTCTATATTTAAATCTAAATCTTACTGTATATAAATATAATGATCATGCATTATGCTGATATTATGACTTAGTCATAATATGCCCCTTAGTCGTATGCTTCTTATGACATAAGGGGCATAACTGGCCGACCCCTCACAGTGTTCAAGAGAACTGGATAAGCACCTCCAAAGGATACCTGATCAACCAGGCTGTGACTCATACGTCAGGCTGCGAGCAGCCGCGTCTAACAGCCTGGTTGATCAGTACGGCAACCAGGAGGCCTGGTCGACGACCGGGCCGCGGGGACGCTAAGCCCCGGAAGCACCTCAAGGTAACCTCAAGGTAGTAAACAATGTACTGGAATTTTGTGTAAATTCAAATATAAATATACCAACTTATATAAATACATTCTTTGATTTTGGATTTTTAATTTGAAAGAAATGAAAGGTTTCTTTTCTTCCCTGTAGTGTCTAAACGACTTGGCGATTTATGACAAGATAATATGATGCTGATTAGATTTTGGCTTAAAGAGGAATTTATCTAAGATACAACGGTGCTGATTACATTTTGACTCATAAGCCCAGCCTGCAAGTATGAGAAGTATGTGGTTTCCTGAGGTAGCAATTCTTACTTAGATTTCTATGATTTTTTTATAAAATGAAATGAATTTAGTCTATACAGTACAAATCTCCGGATCCATAAATCCTCGTTGAGTCTCCCTTAGCCCAGGTCCTTTCACAGGTGTAGGCCTATCAAAGATTTTGGCATTTTGTCCAACCTTCTTCACTTCAATTAAAAGTGGCATAAAATTAACATTTTCCACGTTAAAAAGTTAAACTGGAAATTTTGAGCAAAAATACAGTATATATTCTATTTGTAATGTTTCGTACATACTGTTGATATGTTTAACGTAGGCCTATAGTCGGAAATGCTAATTAGTAGACATAAAGTGAATCATATAATAACGAGATTTACTGGAGGATGTACCCACCATATATGTACTTCTCATAATTCATACTGCCAGTTCACAATATACATGATGAAATAATTTCATATGATGATTACAAAAATTCCCCGACATGGATCACAACAGTAGTGGTATACCAAAGGATACCTGATCAACCAGGCTGTGACTCATACGTCAGCCTGGTCCAACAGCCTGGTTGACCAGTCCAAGAAATTCCTTCCGAGTTCTTTAACAGTAATGTACAATCTTAGCGGGATTTTACTGAGAAATTAGACAATTACGTAAAAGAAATCAACGTAGCTAACAGTCATCTTATATTAAATAGAAGCTATTGTATATTATTAATGTTTCAGTATTACTGAGAGACTTCTCAGTTATTACTGAAACATCTCAGATTACTGATGTTCATCTGGATCTTACCTGAAGAGGTGTTTGGGAGTTCTTCTCTCCAAGCCTGGCCATGGGCCACACTCGATTTGTAATAACTTGGTCCAACAGGCTGTTGCTTGGAGCAACAGGTCCACATATCCATTACAACCCGGTTGGTCCAGTACTTCTTGCAAGTACTGATTTCACCCCCCCCCCTTCCACTGCTACGATCACCAGGCTTGGCATTCAGTATATCGCCTATGTGTAGGCCTACAATTTTTTATTTTTAGTTCCCGTATTCTGTTTATTAAAATCTTCACGAATTGAAACCTTTTTTTCATAGCAAACTTTAACGCTCATGTTTCATAGCTCCATATAACACTTGTTATAGTTTAACACTTGCTTTCATGGCACTATTACCGCTCAAATACATTTAATAAAACACCTAATATGTAGGGTCTAAGACCGGAAAAAAGTTCGTACCAGCAGCGTCATCACTATAAACAAACCTAATCTAACCTAACCTACTCTAACCTGGCCTAATCTAACCTACTCTAGTCTAACCTAATCTAACCCAACCTCACTTGACCAATTCTAACCTCACCTATTCTAACCTTAAATAACCTAACCTATTTAACCAATATATATGCTTCTGTTGTTCCATGGGAATGACCTTTTGGCTCTGACTCAGACGCCATGCCCACTGACGTAGACACCATGCCCACTGACTCAGACACCATGCCCACTGACTCAGACACCATGCCCACTGACTCAGACACCATGCCCACTGACGTAGACACCATGCCCACTGACTCAGACACCATGCCCACTGACTCATGCCCACTGACTCAGACACCATGCCCACTGACTCAGACGCCATGCCCACTGGCTCAGACGCCATGCCCACTGACTCAGACGCCATGCCCACTGACTCAGACGCCATGCCCACTGACGTAGACACCATGCCCACTGACGTAGACACCATGCCCACTAACTCATACACCATGCCAACTGACGCAAGACACCATGCCCACTGACGTAGAC